ACTATTTGTTAAAAAAAGAATACATATTTGAATATTCAGCTTATTTGAAATTACATAAAAGCAAAGAAAATGCACCAAACTTTATGGTAATTTCTATGATTTGGATGGTTTATCTTTGCACTTTTCTGTATTTTCCTAATTTCCATGGTGAGCATTCATCTTTGACTTCCATATATAATGAGGAAATGTTTTGTTTTTAAAAAGAAAGAAAAGGTTTGAGATCAAGGAAAAGCAGGTAAAGGGAAATTCTCCAGGGAAGACTAATAAAAGGAAGACTAATCAAGAAGCTAGAGATGAAAGTAGAAGAGAAAACATTAAAATTCACCTGAGAGGATGCATGTAAAGTGAGGTTAGAGTTGGGCTTAAAGGCGGCTCTAGGAATGAAACAGAGGAGAGGCTGTAAAAATGATGGACTGGTTAGTAAGGTTCTATAGCTGTAATTTACCCCCTTGTGTACCCTCAAATTACCTTACAGTGTAGTAAAATAGACTCTGGAGCTAAATTACCAACTGAATGTGCAACTCAAGATCCATTTTGGAAGAAGACTTAGAGGAGTAGAAAGGAAAGATAGCCATCTCAAAAGGTGCCATCTAGAGGGGACATCCCCCAATGCCAATGGGAAAGAGGCTATGACAAGTGCATCTTAGGGACAGATTGGTGGGCACCCAGAGCAACATCTCTTAACCCCCAGAAACATAGCAGGAACAATGGCATCCCAAAGGCAGACCTGGGTGAGAGGTGGGAAAGACTATAAAGTGCTCAGTGTGAAAGGCATCATCCAAGCCTTCTTTCCCATCATCCAGGATTTGACAACCTGACAGTGAATTTCTAAGGGATGTACATGAAGTACATGATAAAAGGGAAATAGTTCATGTATGTTGGTTCTTGGCCTTTCTCTTCCTCTGATGCTTAAGAGAATTCTGTCTTGACCCTTCTCAGCTTATCTCCCAGCCAGGGATGATCCTGATTGGCTAAATAAGCTCTTGAACCTTGTAATGCAGAGGAAAGGTGCTGGTGAGGACGACAAGTGGCAGGGGGCCAAGAACTGGTGAGGTGGGTGTAGGGCTGTTGATGGAAGGCTGAGGTGAGGGAGATGAGGGAGCTGCTTCAGAGTAAGGGAAATGGATGGAAGAGAAAAGGAGATGTCAAAGATATACTACTATGGTTTCCTTATCTCTCCTTACAGAGTTCAAGAAAGTCAAGAGAAGAGCTGAGACCTCTGGAAATTATTTTTAATTGCTGGACTGTATTATTTTAACCACAACAGTGTTCTGAGACTGTCCCATGACAGCACAGGCTTTAAAAAGATTTCATGTTGATGAGGCACACCTCACTCCCATAGGGACCTTGGGGCTCAAGGGGGACGCTAACTAGAGTCCAATAAAACCATAGCAAACATTTATTTCCTGATGTTCTTGTGTGTGTTGGCTAAAATAGGGTCTATTGCTCTTACTGTTTCCCCCGTTGTTTTTTTTTTTTTTTCTAACAGAATTGTCCCTGAAGCTTCTAACTCTGTAAGCTGCTCAAATTTCTCTGACAGTACAGAAGGTATAAAAGTACATCATGTTGGAAGTGACAGGGATAAAAAAAATGATAACATCTTCCCTAAGCTTGAGTTGCACAAAAATGTCTACTCTGGGTATGTTTTAAAGGATGAATAATCAAATCTGAAATATTCCTTGTATCTAGAGCGTGATGCTTGACAATTTCATACCCTGATGCTCTCTAATGAAAGGAAGAATCCCTTTAATGAAATCAACTGTATTTAGCATAAGTAGAAATAATGGGCCATTCTGTGTACACCAAGATGGTGCTACTAATCTTATATGCATAGTCATAGGCATATACGTAACATGCACACTAGGACCTGCTGGGGGTCATGAGAACTTAATGGTAAACCCTGAGCCTTGGTAACACTTAAGAGCTAAATGGTGACAACTGACTTCTGTAATATTGTGCAGAAATATTCACTGCCATAGTACAATCTAGAACAAAGTTAGGAGGAATGGGTATGTGTGCTACCCACCTCCAGTGACCAGGGCAGACATCATTAATCAATGGATACAATCTTTCCTACTGAACTAGACATGGTCCCAGAAGACTGTTCATTGTAGTTCTCCAGGCAATCACTCCCAGTGGATTAGAGCTGGCACATGAGATGAAAATCTATTTGCCATTTCTAGTCTGTGGGATGGTTAGGGCCAAAATGTCAATCTGGGCATGAGTGTGCAAAGATCCCCCCCACCCAGGGGCACACAAGAGTATTAGAGTTGACGGTACAGAGATAAAGTGACAGAATTGCCTTTCTGCAAAGAGTAATAGGTGGCAGAAAAGCCCCCCCACCCTTGCTTATAATCCCCAAACCTCCCCTATTTTACCTCTTGGTTTTAGGTACTAAGGGCTACTATTTGAACAAAGGTATTTTTAGAAAAGAGTCATTTTTGCGTTGTTGTCCTTATAAGTAGCTTGGTTCAAAATGATTTTTCACATCAACAAATCAGACATCCAGAAAGACTGTGAGGGATTAGGGTTCAAGATGGATCAGGGATGAATTGTCAAATGATTAGCTATTAAAGAAGGTGCAAAGGGGTAGGTACAAAACACTACTTCCCTCCCACAGCTCTTGGGAGGGTTAGCCCTATAGCCAGTAAATTGAGCATTAGATCCTCAAATAAGAAACAAAATCCCATAGGTGTGCCCGGGTGGCTCAGTCGGATGAATGTCTGACTTCGGCTCAGACCATGATCTCACACTCTGTGAGTTTAAGTCCCATGTCAGGCTCTGTACTGACAGCTCAGAGCCTGGAGCCTGCTTTGGATTCTGTGTCTCCCTCTCTCTCTGCCCCTCCCCTGCTCACATTCTGTCTCTCTCTCTCTCTCTCAAAAATAAGTAAACATTAAAAAAATTTTTTTAAAAAGGAAACAAAATCCCATAATAAATAACATTAAACTATCTTTAATAAATGAAATTAAAATTTAAGAAAATAAGTTTGCTTTATCTTACTTTTTAATTAGGTTCTAATTGGCACAACAATGTACTAAGTCTGAAGAATTCAAATATTTGAGTTTGAACAATGAAAATATTTATGTTAGGAGACATAACTTTTCCAACAAGAAAGTATAAAAGCATTATATAATTTCCTTCACTTAATGATCAACTTTTATAGTAAGATCATAAAAAGGATTACTTCTCAGATTACTTAAGGACATATTAATTTACCAATATCAATACCTACCTTTGCTATTCAAATCATTTGCTTTGAAGATCTATGATGTTATAACCCTTATTGGTTTTTTCTTCAGTTGTTAAATTATCTGATTTTCCCAAACCTCATTTGTATGTGATCTGAGCAACATTCCAACATCATTTTCTTCAACCTCATGAAATCCTAAAATGTTTGCAGGAGTGACAATTTCACTTCACAATCTATTTATATTGAGTTTGCATTTTCACTGTCAAAGTTCACAATATTCATCGGTAAAAATGATTGGCAAAATGAGTTGTGAGGTGAGAAGAGTCAGGCTGGTATTAAGCAAGATAGATACATGAAAGGGGACAAATTTGACAATATTTCATCTGGTAATAAATATTGCTTCTCCATGAAATCATGTAATTGTGATGACTGGACTCCTGAACACTCAGCCATTCTGGATGCCTATGTAATTATGCCACCTTTCTCCCCGGGCCACAGATAATTGGATCAGAGATGGACATCTGACCCAACTAAACCAATCATCTCTTTCCTGGGAATCTGGGACTGAGACTTAGTTGTATGTATAGAACAGTGATCTGTGACCTTTTTTGATTGTATATCTCTAATAGTAAAAATATTTAACTATACTTTCCATAAATATGTTTTATTTGTAAATTACATTCACAATTATATTTATTCATAAATTATATGAACATAACATTTTAACCTTTCAAACATTTTATTTGAGTTTAAATATTTTAATATTTTAAATCTATGACTAATTTTAAAACCTTTATATTCTTTAAATTTTTTTTAATGTTTATTTATATTTGAGAGACAGAGAGACAGAACATGGACGTGGGAGGGGCAGAAAGAAAGGGGGACACAGAATCCAAAGCAGGCACCAGGCTCTGAGCTGTCAGCACAGAGCCTGATGCAGGGCTAGAACCCACAAATTGTGAGATCATGACCTGAACCGAAGTTGGACGCTTAACCAACTAAGCCACCCAGGCGCACTGTTAATGTTTATTTTTGAAGGAGAGAGAGAGAGACAGAGTTTGAGCCAGGGAGGGGCAGAGAGACAGGGAGACACAGAATCTGAAGCAGGTTCCAGGCTCTGAGCTGTCAGCACAGGATCGACGCAGGGTTTGTCGACCCATAAACCATGAGATCATGACTTTCTCTTCTGGAAACTTTTATACCAGTTAGAAAACTCTGGATTTTGAAGTACAGAACTATCAAGATTTCTGTGGTTGAGTCACACTGTTATCAACAACAAAATCATATAATGATAGAAACATTTCCAAACACCCAATTTCAAGATGTTTCTCCATAGCAAGAAGTCTTTTGAAAAGCAGATATTTTCTCTCTTGTTGATAAAATATCACCTTTGCCTTGAAGAAGCAAAATAATGTTTTTTAAATAGCTGCTAGTGTCACAGAAAAGGCTAGTGAATTTGGAGTCATTATTGAAAAACCAAAATGTGTCGTACATCTTTAAAAAGGACCATTTTTTTTGTCATAAGATGACCAGAAAACATCTCGTGATACAAAAGATTTTCATGGCCATGCACTTTCTTTTTACAAAGTTAGGGATGATTCTACTATTAAAGTCCTTGTTTTTATCAAATTACCCACTTAAATGACTTCTTCTGGTTCTTTGTACCCTTCTGGTTTCAATTATTTCCTACATCAAACTGAATATGAATAACAGAGAATGAATTTCACATGTGGAATTAATACTCTGGTCTCACCCCAGAATTATTTTTTATTCTAATCAAAGCAACAGCTCCATTAGTGGTTACACATAGGTATGAAACATTGTATTTTATCAAAGAACTCATTCCCTGTGTGACAGTTTCATGTCCTGTGCAGTGTGTTCAAACACAGATGCTTCATACCTTGGATGTCCAGTTTCACTGGGCTATTTTGCCAGTAGTGAACAGCGTGTGTGAATATTTGTTCATGATCAGGAATCCAGAGGCCACATATCAGACCTTTCCCCTTAACCAAAAGAAAGAAGCTGTTTTATTAACAATAGATACAGGCAAGAAACCATCAATTACAATGACAGGAAAGTGCAGAGAAAAAGCAAGTGAGAAAAAAGATGATCATTGGTGGGATTATTTAACCCCTTTCTCCTGATCACAGCTACTCTGCAGAAAATGCAGAGCATAATCACTCTGAAGAGCCATGAAAAAGGGTTATTTTAGCTCCCTAGTCAGGATCTAATGCACCTGAATGAAATGCACTTTTAAAAAAAATCCCTTTTCTGAGTCTTTGTTCTCAAGGAATATCACAGTAATGAACTGGATACCCAAGGAACAGTCATTATTTCTAAATGCTCAAATGGCTCAGCCTACATATGCTCTCAAAATATTTGAGTCACTGGAGGAAATTAAGAAAACGTACCAGAGGATTAGAAGGGATTTCCAAAGAAATCATATTTTCACCTCAAATCAAAAGCTCTTAGCCTGCCATGACTACAAGCCTTGGCTCTTATTCTCACCATATGTGCAATATTTTGGATGTTTCTCACTGATATAAAGATCTGAAATTTAATTTCAAATGGCTGAACAGACATGACATTTACCAAATTAAAAGAAAGCACAATCTCCATCCGTGCACTCTTCGTACAAATACCTTTCAGCCTTAAAATTTAACAAAGCTCCTCTGATTGCACATGGAATTTACACCCGAACCTGGTGTGACGTCTCTAGTGGGGGGGTCTTTCTATGCCATTGCTGAGTGAGTGTAGTCTTTGGTAAAGGTTATCAATCCTATGTATGTATTTATTAGCAGTATTGCTTTCTGTTCCTTAGAGTAGGGTCCCTAGACGTCTTTACTTCTCAAGACTATTTGGAGGTGAGAGTATTCAATTCAGCAGATACGTGCCGAGCCCCGGCTTTGTATAAAGACTTGGTCTCAGTTTTGTGAAGGCTTCAAAGATGAGGAGGTTCCTACTACAAAAGCTTCCTCAGGGACTATGAGATACATTCATTTTTTTTTTTTTTAATGCTGGGAAATTCAACAATGTAAGAGTTACTAAGTGTTAAAGGGCTCAGTTCCAAAATTCTAAATTATTAAATTGTAATAATTTATCAGCTGAAAAATCCAGGCTAAAAGCTAACTCCGTTCTTCTCCTTAGATCAAGACTAAAGTTTCTATACGTTTAAAGTACAAAAGCAAAATGTATTAGGAGTGAGAAAAGACAAATGGGATAACTATACTGAAGCATAACTGGGCTTTTAACCCCTGAATAAATATGATCTAACTCTGTGCTCACCAGTGTGAAAAGGCACAAAGTTAGAGAGGGGACTGGAATTTTTAAAGACAGGATCTTGTGGATAGCACTGAGTTCAAATCATCAGGATCCACTAGTTATGGATCGAGTTATGGATCAGTCAAATCCAGATACTGGGCCCACGATAAGTGACCTCTCAGTGACAGGGTAATACCTAATGGACCAGACCAATTCCTAAACCCAGAAAGCCAATCCTTCATTCTTCATTCAAACCATGACTTATTCTGAAACAAATTTTAGGCTACTTAGAAATATGCAAACATATTACAAGAGAATATAAATTGAAAATAAAAACATAAGGCAAAGAGCAAATAAAACTAAGAAAGCAAGATGGCATTGGGAGTGAAGTTAGCCCACAGAGTAGAGAAGGAGTCTCTATGTTCTTTCTTGAGTAGCCCCCTCATTGCTGGAATAAAGAAGCAAACAGGTGAGTTACCTGATACACTGCCACCATCCTGGTACTAAGAAAACAAAGAAGTCAAACAACAATCAGAAGATTATCCTCAGGGAACCTGGGTGGCTCAGTAGGTTGAGTGTCTGACTCTTGATTTTGTCTCAGGTCATGTTCTCACAGTATTGAGATTGAACCCCGTGCTGCACTCTGTGCTGACAGTGGGGAGCCTGCTTGGAATTCTCTCTCTCCCTCTCTCTCTGACCCTCCCCTGCTCTTGTGTGCTCTCTCTCTCTCTTTCTTTCTCTCTCTCAAAATAAATAAAGAAACATAAAAAAAGTGTTCATGGAATGATTAAATCATGCTTTCTTTATCAGTTCGTAAGATCTACTCCGAGAGAATCAAACGTCAGTTACAAGATCAGTTCAGGGCCAATAAGAAGGATCTGAGAGCTCATGGTGCCATATCATGAGGCTGGATTCAGAAACAGAAAGGCAGGCCTCTAGGAACTCCTTTGTGACATGGTTAATGACATGATTCAGATTGTATGAGGTAAAACACATAACACCAGTGCTAATTCCACCCCAGTGCTTACTTAATTTGGCTTTTGTTCATTTATGTTAGTTTATGTTTTAGATGAAAAGTTTCTAGAAAGCAGGGTACAGGGCGGTTATAGGCTCAACTGTGATCCCCTAATTCATATGTTGAGATCCTAATCCCCAGTACCTCAGAATGTAAGTGTATTTGGATATAGGGCCTTTTAAAGATGTACTTAAGGAAAAATGAAGACATATGGGTGGGCCCTAATCCAAATATGACTGGTGTTCTTATAAGAAGAGATTAGGACATGAACATGCATAGAGGAGTTTCATGTGAAAACACCAGAAAAAGATGGCCATCTGCAAGCCAAGGAGAGAGGCTTCAGGATAAAACTAACCTAGCTGACATGTTGATCTTGAACTTCTAGCTTCTAGGTTGTGAAGAAATACATTTCTGTTGTTCAAGCCACCCAGTCTGTGGTATTTGTTCTGACGCTCCTAGAAAATGAATACAAGAGCTATTTAAATTTCCCTGAATAGTGTCAAGTCTCAAGACCATATGTAAAATAGGTGCTTTAGTGGGGCAGGCAGAAACGCCAACATGTGGACAGGACTTCGGGGGTTTTTCCCCTTTCAGTTGCAGGTATAGCATTTAAAGACTGGGAATCGAAAAAGGCATGGTCAGACAAGATCACACATTTATTATCTTTTAGTTTACATATGAAGATCTCTCAACAACCTCAGAAGTCTATGGTAGGAGGTGGGAGGCAAGAGGGACTTCTGGCCAATTTGATGCCACTGGGGGTTTAGGAGAGAAACCCCCATTAACTGGGGGTTTATGTTGAGAAATTACTTTGGGGAGAGATTTGGAAACGATCAGTAACTACTATTGTCTTGTCTAAAAGCAGTGATTTTAAATAACACAGTCTATCGCTGTACCTTGGTCTTAACAATGTTCAGGGAAAAATAAGTTTGTAATAATAGAACACTCCACATGTATCTGTTTTTGCCCCCACCCACTATTGCAGGACTTCTTACCTTGCTGTTGGTCTCCTTACCCCTCCTCTTTGTTTCAAGTGATTCCCTGGGATTCTTCCATGAACACAGGCCTCTCATGATCTCTATCACTGTCTAATTGTCTATTATCTATAACATTTTAAAGACCTGTTTAGGCGCACCTGGGTGGCTCAGTCAGTTAAGCATCCAACTTCAGCTCAGGTCATGCTCTCAGAGCTTATGAGTTTCAGTCCTGTGCCAGGCTCTATGCTGACAGCTCAGAACCTGGAGCCTGCTTTGGATTCTCTGTCTCCCTCTCTCTATGCCCCTTCCCCGGTCACGCTCTGTCTGTCTCTCAAAAATAAATAAACATTAAAAAAGGAATTTTAAAAAACTGTATAATATGTTTCATAAGTTTTAGGTAGTTTGGCTGTCTAGATTTGTTTTCATATATTTCATAATATAATCACAATAAAAGAAAATTTGGAAAAGAAATAAAAGGAAAAAAAATCACTCATGGTCTCATCATTCTAAGGCAATTGCTAGCATTTGATTGATTCTCCTTTCAACTTTCTTATTCCATGCATAGGAACTTTTCAACGAAAGTTGCAATTCTAATGTATACACAACCTTCCATATTCCTTTAAAAAATAAACTTAATACTGTATCATAAGGCTTTGTCAATAGTGCAGCAGAATTTTCTTAAACATCATTTTAATGATATACAGTATAGCATAGAGCTGACACAATAGTTTGCTTATCAGTTTCCCAATTCTTGGACATTTAGTTTATTTCAAATTCTTTAAAAATAAAGAACTATAAACAACATGGATGTCTTTGACAATGGATATATCTGAACATATTTTTTTTCTTCCTGTTTTGCATTTTTCCCTTGGAACACATTCCCATTGTCTGAATTACTGTGTGAAGGGACAAGTTCATTTTTGGGTAGAGGCTTAGATAATGTCCTACTGTAGGCAATAGGATCTGCTATAGAGTATTTGTATAGAGGCCACTATTCTCATTTTAAGCCATGCCAAGATACCCAATGGCTTGAAAATACTGCCATTGTCTTTTGGGGGAATCATCTAACTAGTTCGTAGCTATTGTATTTTGCTTGATAAGTTTGCAGGATAAGTCTGGTGAAATTCAAGATAAAGATAGGATCAGAGTATGTCGAAGACTCACATGAAGAGTTAATAGAAGTCTACTTCATATCCTTATGGACACTTCATATATCAGTGAATGAGAATGTGAGCTCAGGAAAGCAGGCACAGAGAAGCAGCTCTGTTGCACTAATCAGGGAGGAGAACCTGGGACTCAGTAACTATGTCACTGGGCTGTGGGTCTTGCTTGGGGCATAAGATATTAAGTTTTCCCCCACCTGGGGCTTGATTTCATGAACTGTGAGATCATGATCTGAGCCAAAATCAAGAGTCAGACACTTAACCAACTGAGCCATTCAGGTGCCCCCATAAACACTTCTAGGTACCCATTGTGTGCACAGTCCCCTTCTCTGCTAGGAGCTATAGAACACAAAGACAAGACTACCCAGTGGATTTGGTCCCTACCTTCAAATAGCCTGTCAGGATGGTTTAGAAATAATAGCAAAAGTAAAAAGGCTACCGTACCACACACACACTGAAGTGTCTACTGGATTCAGTTATTATAGATAAGAAAAAATGATAAGAAACATAGCCCAAACTTTCAATAAGTAACAGGACTTGAAAGCCTGGCCACAAATATGTCTCCAGAAGAAATTCCCATCAGCTTTTATGTTTTTTCCCTTGAGAGAACAAGTTATAACACCTTCTCCTAAGTCTTACAGCTTTACCTTTTAAATACTAATCCTTTGTTTTGACTGCAAAAGTTTTTCACTAATGATAACTATCACATCTAAGCAAATACTTAAAATATGGACTTAAAGAAAGGTATTTTTGCCTGCAAACCACTCATTTTCAAAAGCATCAACAGAAGGATGCTGAATTGGTCACTGCTAGGAAGATCCACCTTAACAATCTCAGAGCAAGTTTTCTTCTCTTCCTGCCAATCGAGCATCATGTCTCCCTCTCCATCCTCAAAAAACTAATTTTCAGAAACAAATTTATGTGTAAACCAAAGTATGCCTGTAGCTTGTCATTTCAACTAATAAAGTGACAAACATTTGTTAAATGCTTTCTGTGTGCCTAGCCATGTTCTAAGTGCTCAGAGGCACAAAGGAACCACAAGGAATCTGGTTCCACTGAAAATGTATTCTATCACATTGAAAATGCCTCAAAGTTTCCCTCTTCAGGAACCTTTTATTCCTTTGTGAGCCTTTGAAGCTCATGATAAATACTAAAGAAGAATTTTTGAAACGTAGATTCTTAAAGGGGAAAGTAAAAGCTTGGCCTGAGGTTTGAAAGAGAGATTGTAACAGCCACCATGAGGCATTCTTCAGGGAAAACAGGGTTTTCAGTGTTTATGAGTTAGCCATTAGAGACGCAGGGTCTAACTGGTTGACACTGTGGGTGCCAAGGCAGAACTTTCATCCTGGCTGCAAGGTAAGAGCTATAAAGCCAGGTAAGGGCTGCCATGCGTTTCTGGAGGCAATTCTAAATCTCAAAAACATAGAGAAACAGAGAGGGAACAGGAGACATCAGAGACAGAGAAGGCTTTGATCCTTTGTCCACAAAAGGAAATGGCATATTAGAGGCAGAGCTGCTCAAGGTTTCATTAGTGGAGGTTTGAGGCAAAGAGGACACCACATTTTGAGAAGACAATCATAGGGATCAGAGCAGCTGCCATAATTTATTTAATGTTTATTTATTTTTGAGAGGGGGAAGGAATGGAGAGAGGGGGACAGAGGATCTGTGCTGACAGCAGAGAGCTTGATGCGAGGCTTGAACTCATGAACTGTAAGATCATGACCTGAGCCGAAGTACAACACCTAACTGACAGCCACCCAGGTGCCTCACAGCTACCATAATTTTTCCCATAATTTTTAAAACTCAAAGGCTAGAATGGTAGAGCCTCAAGATTCTACCTTGAATAGGGGCACCTGGGTGGCTTAGTCGGCTAAGCGTCCGACTTTCGCTTAGGTCATGATCTCGCGGTTCGTGGGTTCGGGCCCCGCGTCGGACTCTGTGCTGACTGCCAGCTCAGAGCCTGGAGCCTGTTTCAGTCTGTGACTCCCTCTCTCTCTGACCCTCCCCTGCTCATGCTGTCTCTCTCTCTCTCCTAGAAATAAATAAATAAAAAAAAAAAACATTTAAAAAAAAAAAGATTCTACCTTGAATAAAATATTCAGAGTTAGTTTGAGACCCAATTTATTAAGCAGATGAGGCTGAAAGATATGTGATTAATTGAAATAGATTATAGGCATCCCTCACTTTGCACTGTTCCAACATGTACAAATTTCAGTTACTATGCTTTAAACATCAGTCATTCAACAAAACAGTTCAAATTTTAGTTAACACCATATTTAATTGTGAGTAATCACATAAAGTGCAAACTTCGCTGCTAACCTTCAGCCCACAAATCACTGTATTACAGAATGGACATCATGATAAACTCCCAAGTGACATCACTCCTTTCAAGGTCTGTCAGTGGTTGACCACTACACATTTGTTATTC